CAGAGATATTAATATTAATTATTAAATTAATGATATTCTGTCTAATTTTAGCTTCATATTAAATAGATATAGTTTTGAGTTTTTATCCAAGTATTACTCTTTTTTTCTTTTTGATTTTAGTATTGTGACTTAGTATATTTCTTTTAATAACTAAGTTTTTTGAGAGAATAAGATTTATATAAGTTAGATAATAGTTATATTTGCTTTTTGTTAAGCTAAGTCTTCTAGAATATTATAGGATTCAGCTATAATAACAAGTATAGGTAAAGTAATTTTGCTTTTTTTTTTTGTAAATAGTCTTCTTGCTAAGTTCTTTCTCAAGTATTTTAGATATTTTAGCATTATTTATATTCTAATTAATAATAATTTTGGAAGTATCTTTTTGTTTAACTTCTTTATTATTATTTAATTTCTCATTTTCTTTAATAGTTTCTTTATAAGATTAATATATAAATCTGGTTCTATAAGAAGTAGTTCTGGAATTTCTGATCTTTCTTTTAATAGTCAAGTACTTATGTATTCCTAGTAATAAATTTATATTATCTAGTTTGGCAATTAATATTTAAATATTATTAGTAAGAGCTTATATTTGAGCTAATAATATATTTTAATTATTATTAGTATTTTGATTATTACTAATAATTATCTAATTTAATAATATATTATTTTGTTACTAATTATTTTCATTTGTTTTCTGGTAATTATTATAGCTAAAATAGTTAAAATAGATATAATCTGGCTTATTATAATTATAGCAAGTTAAAATCAGTTTAGTATTTTGATTACTAAACTGATAATCAGAGTTATTTCTATTATAATTTGATTCTTTATTAGTTTTAATACTTTTTATTCATTAATTAAGATCTTGAAATACTATTAAAATAACATTTAATATTAAATTATTCTGAATTTAAGATTGACAATATCCTCAAGTTGGAATATATGCATTAGCTTTTTTTATATTTTTTGCTATTTGAATTATATTTAAGAAAGTTCTATTAGCTGAGATCTATATCTATTTTCTAATTTTTGATTTAAGCTTTCTTCTGTAAATTCTAATTTTATATTCTTCTGATTATTTATTATCAGAATCTACTTTATAAAGTAGATTGATAAATTTATCTGTATATTTTTCTATAATATCAGTTTATTATAAGATTTCAATTTCATCTTATTAATCAATTCTTTTTCTGATCTAGAAATATATAGCAAATTGATAACTAAAACTATATATTGATTATTATTATCATTCCAAATAGTTAATCAGATAATATCATTTTTATCTCTTTTATCATATTACAAGATAGCAATATTTTTTAAATATTTTCTAACTAATTATACTTTTCTAGCAGTTGTAATTCTATTAACTTATGAATAATATTAAAATCTTTTAGCTATTCAGTTAAATCTTGATTATTCTCTCTATATTTTCTAATAAAAATAATAATTTTTTTCATAGACTAGATATTTTGATTAGTTATTTGATCAGCAAGTGCTTCAAGAGCTTGAATCAGATTATTTAAGTTATTATTATTATTATTTAAAGCTATTTAATTATTTTTTTTCAGTTTATTATTTATTAGCTTCTAAGTTAGTTTGAGTATTTTTTTTCTAAATCTGAATAATCATTATTTTTTTCTGATTTTGATATTAATATAAATTATACTGAGAAAAAGATATATCTTCTAAATTCTTGATTTCAGAATAGTATCTGTTAATGTTACTATTATTAGAAGATATTCTTGTTTGAACTTGCAAAGTAAAGTTTTAATAGATAAATTATTAATAAAATTATTCAATCAAGTTTAGTTGTTCTTCCTGGATATTTATATAATTAAAAATGAAAGTATTTACTAGTTATATTATTCTTTGTCTAAGATAAGTGATATATATTTTACTAAGATTAAGTTGAATTAATTTGTGAAATAATAAATATATGATTTGATTTATTGATATTGGTCTAATATTTTTTATAAGTAAAAAGTTTAAAATTGTAAAAAAAAATTTGATTAAAGAGAATAATAATAGAAACAAAAGTATTGATAGGGTATTTTAATAGTATAATTAGAATTTTAATATGCTTATAGATGATAATTAATAGGTAATTCAATAAAAGAATAATAATTAGTCATGAAAATTCAAGACATAAATATTTATCAATTACTTAAATATAAAAGAAAGAGTATAAAAAAGTATAAAAAGGCTTTTTTCTATAGAGAGAACACAAAAATATATTATAATAAATTTGATAAGTGAATTTTCACTTGAATTTATCTTAATAATTTTAGGTTAAGAGAGACTGAATTAATTAAAAAACAAAAAAAGGGAAATTAGATTATACTTTTAAAAATAACAAAGATTTTTAAGATCTGTATCAATATCTATAGATATTATCTTTAAAAGAGATAAATAAATAATAGAAATAAAATTATAAAGATTAATTAGTAAAGCTACTAATAATCAATATAATTCAAAACTTAAACTAATTGCATAGTAAAATTATCATTAATTAAAGAAGATTATAACTAAAGAAAAAGATAAAAACTAAAATAAACTAAATAATAAAAAAGATATAGTTTATTTACAATAGAGATCTTCTACTTTCAAAATAATAAAATAAAAGTATAAATTATTTATAGTAGAGAACTTCTATTCTTAAAATAATATTAAAAATCAAAAATCAATATAATATTATAATTCAAATCAAAATCAACTTTGTATAGTTAAAGAAATAAAACTAAGTAAGAGAAAGAGTACTAATATAATTAGAAAAGAAATTTTTCAAAAAAATTATTATTATTATGATAATAAGCTTTTTAATTATATTTTTCAAATAATTTAATTCAAAGCTATTTATTTCAAATTGAAATAGCAAGTTCTTTTATACATTTTTTAAATACATAAATTATTATAGTATTACTAGTTAATACTATCTAAATATATATGTTATTATAAAAAACTAATATTATACTATTATAATATTGAAAATATCTAAATTATATTTATTTGGACATTTTTGTGAATTTTTTTATGAATATTTTCATAGATATTTTTGTGAATATTTAGTTAATTATCAGTTTAAATATTATTATTTCATTAAAAATTAAAAATAATCTTTAAATATACTATTCTATTATATATAAAAATTATATTATATATAATCCAAAAATATAGATCTTGAATAAAAGGAAATATGATATAATATTTAAAAATAGAAATGTGATAAAAATAAATATAGTAATAAAAATAAATATGTGATATAAAAATAGAGATAGTTATATAATAAATTATAAAATTATAAAAAAATAAAATTTTGTATAACCAAGAAAAGATTATGAAATTAAGAAATTTTATGTCACTACAGTAACAATATAGTACTAAAATTAATAGTTACAGTTATAGTAATTTTAAATTTTTTGATAAGTTTATTAACTACTTTTTATTAATTATTTTTAATAATATTAATTAATCTTTAAATAGCTTTATTATTTTATTTTTGTGATTTATCACTTTGTAATTTAACCAAACTTTTTATATTTATTAATAATAGTATAAATAGTAAATTTAAATTATTCTTGAATATCTCTAATCTTTTTTTTCAGATAAATTATACTTTCAAGTATTAATAATCTTGTCATACTCAAAATCTATAAGTTTATAATTTTGGTAGAATTTGATATTAGTTTTTTTATTTTATTTAAAAGTTTAAGATATCAGTTTTTTAATGAAGTAATATATATTATAATTAAATCTTTTATTATTATATAATAGATATTTGAATTATCTCTTAATTATATCAATTATTATCTAATTGCAAACTTTTAATTATCAAGTATACAGTTATTACAGAAAGTAATGTCTGATTTTTTTAAAAAATAAAATTTCAGATTTATTTTATTTTTGTTTTATAAATATAAAAATATTTTTTTATCAATAGATAATACATTATTAACTCTTTATATAACTCTAATATTACTTTAATTTCTCAAGATATTTAGCCTATAATCTTCTCAAAAACCAACATATTAAATTTTCTTTAGAGTAGTCTTGAGCTTTTACATGATTCTTGAGAAGCTTTTACATTTTAGAATATTATTTTTCAATAACTTGGAGATATTTCTATGAAGTTTGAATCATGAGAATATAATATTCATTGATTTCTCTATTTAATTCTATTAATGACTTCTTTTTCTAATGTAAATCAAGTTTTATTTCTTTGAAATATCATGTTCTCTCAAATTAATGAATAAATTATATTATGTAAAGAGATCAAATTACCTTAGAGAATCTTTAAATAAGATTTTACATAAATTTTTTATTATCAATGTTGTGAGATAACTCAGGATATCTTTTTTTGCTTCTTGTATAGGTGCATTTTTTTCTTGATTTTTAAAAGCCTTTGATCTCCCAGACAGTGAAAAATTTTTGTTTCCTATCTCTTTTGTACTTGGCAAAAGATCATTACACTATTATTAGATTCCAACACATTTTTTTTGATTTGAGAGAACAACTTGATCTACATTAGGGAAAAAAATGAAATAAATTCAAATAGAGTAAATCAGCGCCAAGCAAACTGTAATGAGCAAATTATATTATGAAAGGGATCAAATTACCTTAAAGAATCTTTAGGTAAGTTTTTGCACAGATTTTTCATTACCAATGTCATGAAATGGCTCGGGATGTCTTTTTTAGTTTCTTGCGTATATAGTAAATTTTTGTTTTCCTTTTTCTTTTGTACTTGACAAGAGACCATTATACTCTAACCGGGTTACATCACATTTTTCTTGCAACTTGCTTGACTCTCATAACTTCATAAAAATCACTATTTTTATCCTTGTCAAAGATGGCCTACTTGTAATACAAATCTATAAATAAAAATATGCATCATAAAATATCCGTTACAAGGTGTTACGGTAATATATAATTATCTCACATTTAATAATTAAATTGGTATATTGTTGGAAATTAAACTATAATAAAAAGTTTAATTATTACATGTATTACAATTTTTTAACGATATTCCCTAAATCACTTGATATATTTTCTTCAATTATATTTGAATAATAGCATTGATATTGTCGGTTTGGCCCTATAATAGAAATAGAAATTGAGCTAGAATTTAATTTTGTATTGTATATTGGAGATAAATTTGAAGTGGAGGTATTTGCGCTATTAATTGATAGGAGTTGTTGAGGGATCAGAGTAGCAGAACCGGATGAAGAAGTTGAGGATGCAGATAATCTTTGAACTACATTTTTCGGTGGCGTTAAATTTGAACTTATCATTCGGATCTGATTTTCTTCCGACGATTGGGAATATCTTGAAGTTTCATCTAATTGGTGATGGTAGAATTGTGGTTGTTCAGTAAATGTGGTTGTCGAACTATTATTAGTCATATTATTGGTACAACTAGGGGATAGTAGTGGTCTTTGAAGATGCGAATTGCTAAACATTTTTTGCTTTTGAGTTGGTGATAATGTGCTGTTGCTTTTGTTGTAGCTGTTCTGATTGATGCTTTTATTATTGGTTTTGGTTCTTTGAGTGTTTGGGCGTTTACTTGTTTTGGATCTTGTTTTTTTGCTGTCTTTTGGTCTCTGTAAAGATTTCTTCACTCTGTCTTTTATTGTGGGGTGGCCTTTATTATCTCTTGTTTTTCGGTTCTTTACTTTTACCTTAGATGAATGTTTGATTCTGGTAGACGTCTTCGTCTTATTCTTATCTTTACTTTTTTTCTTTGTTTTCCATTTTTTAGTTTTTGAATACGCATTAATATTACTTGATAAAATTTGATTGGTGAATTCTGCTTCCGTCGGCGCTTTTAATATTTTGATGATGATGTAATATAGCAAAAATTCTGTCAATCTTGGCTGTTTCTGTTTTTGGTCTTTATTCTTGCCATTCGAATCTATTTCTGATAGGTTGTCGTCATCAGCCTCTCCTTCAAGTTCAATGATCTTATCCATTTCCATCGATAATTGAGAAATCACGCTTTGCCGATTTCGAGATTGAAAATGTGATTCAGTTTTCTTCAAGCTTTTAAGAATCGATTTTTCACATGAGCGATGTGGATATCTTAATTCATACAGCTCGACATATTTTCTCCAGAGATGAATTCGTAATGCTAAAAATCCACGTGAGACTGCCACATCTTGCGAAAACACCAACGCATTAAGTAATCCTACGTGAAACATGCAGCAAAGATTAGTAATTGATCAAGCAAAAGAAAAAATACACGTCCACATTCAAATTACCTTGCAGTGCAGCACAAACACAAGTCAACAACAATAGCGAGAAGATCACTCTTCCGGTAAAATAAGTGATAGTCTCGGCTAAAAAATTTGGTGTTTGTGTAATCAAAGGGACGATTGGGTACCACATTACTTTGCCAACTACTTTTGTCATCACGTTAGTTGATTTAAATGACTCTTTCATGTTTAATCTTGACGGAGTAGAAAGTGGAAGTGATGCGATCGTGTTATTCACATGATTTTTCGCGGACTGTAGTTTAACTAAGACTGCGATCACAACCCCTGTACAATATAGCACCGATAATTCTAACCATGCAAAAAGTGTTGTCCATTGCCAAATAATATTAAATCGATGACCTGAACCTCTATACCAGCATAAACTATGGCGAAAATAAAGAAAATGATTAGGTCTTAATGGTCATGGCAAAGTAAAAGGTGCATCTAATTATTTTATTTAATTTTTTTTCATTACGTTTCCGGTTCATCGTATCCGTACATTTGCTCAGCAAATGGCAAGCTTGATATTAATCCAGCTAAAAATACAGAAACAGGTAAATAGAACTTCTCCAGGTTATATTTGCCTTTATATTCATGTATAAATACCGCTTGAAGATTCTAAATCAAGAGACTCAATTAATTTTTCTTCTGTGAGAGCATCAGATTTACTATTTCCCACAATTACTTACGAATGCAATACAATTGGTACAAAAGACCGATAACAAACTAGCAAATACATATCCCCAAACCTAAACATGGGAGAGAAAATAGATGAGTCAAGAAACTATTCAAATGTCTAATCTTCTATTATGAAGCATACCATAAAAGAGCACGAAAATCCCTCTTGGTCGACAAATAAATTCGACAGTGCAAAAACTGAATACGCCAAATCCGAAATACTCGTAGCGAAACTTAACCGAAACGACACGCGATCAGCCAATGCGGGAAAATAATACCGTATTAAGCAATAGGTTGCAACCGCGCAACCACTTGCGAAAATCGACAGAGAACATATAGGAATAACAAGCTTATCTAAAAGATTTGCTTGATCTTCGGAGATTGAAATTATAGAAACTTCATTGGAATCAGGGAGTTGCTCAAGGTAACTATCTTGATTCATATTCTGTGTATGGGCTACATACAAAGGAAACTTGTATGTAAATTATTTTGAGTAAATGCTATTTGAACAGTTACTAAATGTTAGAATTTTTGAGCGAAAGAAAGAGGTGAGTTTTTTCATTTTACCCTGTTTAAATAAACCATTAATCAACTCTAGAATTCGACGTTTATTGCATATACATAAACATTAATTATTCAGCAGTCGTAGCATAGCACAAACTTTTGCGCAGAGCACACATCAAAAATTGTATATAATTTATCTGCATATTTTTATTTCCTGTAATGCAAAACGCTGCAATAGTAAGACCAATACATCTACATATACGTACGTACAGTAAATAATAAACAAAAAGAAACGCATTATGATATTCCAAAAATTTCCGAATTTAAGGTGCAGTGATATTTTCCTGCACTCCTGAAAACAAAAAATATTGTTATCAGTATACAAATTTTTTTGGTTAATCAGTGCATGCTTGCTTAATTATGCTGTTCTTTAAATGCTGCACTGCAACATGTTTTTCCATCACCTTTCTAAAAATAAGAGAGCTAGCATATCATATACAGTAATTAATTACTTCATAATTTAAAATATTACTACACGTATAAAAAATAGAGTTTTATTTGTCCGTTTATGAATGCGAGGATTATATGACTTACATGTATCGTGTCTGTGCGCGTTTGTTATTGCCTATATTTTATATCACCATATAGCTGCATAAAGACCCGGGTTCTTTTACAAATACATGTACTTGTTTTTGAAATTGGACAGTACCCGGTACCATTCATCGAGTCAGCGAGTTCATTGGTGGTAATTTTTGAAGGAGTAAAGGATATTATATGCAATAACTTTACATTATTAATATGTTTGCAGCAGGTATATGTATCAAGATCTACGTTTAAAGGTTATTCGTTGGTTCATTATTTGTGTTGGAATAATTTCTATAAAAAGAAATCATCTATCGTTGTGCATATCAATGCTAGTAATTCGACGACCATAGAATTCCATAACAATTCTTTGTAGAACCACTTTCCCATTACGTATTGAGGATTTCGAATGTATACATGCACAATATGAAACTTTTTGCATGACAATAACGATTAGTTCATGACAATGAAGATTTAATTCATGGAAAGAATAGTATATAACGATAAGTAATCAAACATCGTGTTAATAACTTTTCTTCATATCGTAAAATTTATCGAAATAGTTGTTTTATTCCTTTTTCAGTTTTAGATCCGTTATCGCAACCTATTATTGCATCACAACTATGTCACTTATCTAAATATATTTCTTTCAACAGTTCAAAATTCGATTTCGGCAAAATCCTTTTCAAAAAAAAAATTATCGATTTACTTTAAGAAAAATTCAAATGAAAAACGTATACCTATTACATGTATTGGTCATTATGACGGCAATTAATATAACTGTCGCAAACATTCTGAGGCGACAAAATGCTTGTGCTGCAATTCGTATAACTTGGCCAGCATCAAATGGGATTCAAATAACCAACGGTAGTAGGAATCTTTATTTTAATTAGCTCGTCTCACAATATTTCTAACTATTAAAAATAAAATAAATTCTAATAGGCCAATGTTATCAAGTCTCTTTTGATGTAGCTGGTGCAGCACCTAACACCACCATCTATGTTACCAATGTTGATTTAATAGATGGCAGCGGAAACTTTGTTCAAACTCAATGGTTCGGAAAAATTGATCCAACAGCGCAATCATCCACACCTTACTTCAATTTGAATCTCGGCATGAATCCTGTTAATGGTGGAAACTATGCATTCCAAATTACTGCTTTGGTTAATGGTCAGAGTTGTCTTATAAATAGTGTCGTATTTCAAGGGTTGTATAATACTTATAGTAATGCGGTGCGGTGTCCTTGATACTTTTTGTTTCCAAACTATTTATTCGATCATTTATTAATATTTGTTGTTTGATTAATTTGTTTCCGTAAAGACAAATGGTAAATAGTCCTGTGTCATAGGATATTATGCATTTTTATTGGTTCCTAAAGATACGACAGACAATTATTAATTTTTAAGAATAAGTAGCATTATTGTTGCTTAGAAATCGAAGAACGGTAATTTTATATCGTCATTTGTGTTTTGAAGATAGTTCGAAAAAACAATGAAATTTGTTTTTCGTCGCGCCACATTGATTTATTCTAATGACTTTGCAATTTATTTAATAATGACATTGACGAGCAAGAAATGATCCCGTTGAAATTGGGCAATATTTGCATAGTTCTCGTTATCCAGCAAAATTGTCCTTTGGATTTTCCTCAATTAAGATCAATATTAAAATACTATGAAAGAGCCGCAATACATGACAAAATCTCATTTAATTTGTAATTGTACTTTATTGTGGATGCACCGTTTATCGAGATTAAGAGGGTGTTAAAGTATTTACAATGAATAATAATCTCTTTGAGGCAATTCGCATTAGCGAATTATTGGCAATATAGAAAGAAATAAGAAGCATTCTATTGGTCTCCGAAAGTCACAAAGTTTGGATATGATGCAGCTGTATGATGACAGGTACATGTACATGTAATACCAAATGATCAAAGTCGACATGTATTATGGTCGTTATCGTTCATTATCGTTCATGCCAGATCTAACGATAGAGTTTAAGTGTATGATTGAAAATTTAATCCATTAACGTTAATATAATGAAATTGGGCCTTGAACATATGTTAAAAGTATAGCACATCTTGAAAATAATTGAATATTTTTCATAGAAATCACGATAAAGATATCTTAATATTATCCTTTTCCTATAACATGTGGAAATTTTTACTTTTTAAATCTATTTGAAGAATAATAATCAAATTGTATATTTATCAATATGCCAAGATATTATTTAATTTAGAATGATAATATTTTATCATATTTAATATTATAGATATTGAGAAATCATGCATCAAGTTAATATATAATTTTTTATAAAAATAAAAATATCTCTTGAATTACTAAGTTTAATAAAATAAAAATTTAATTATTATTTCTGAAGATATTTAGTAAACTTTGCTTAATAAATTTATCTAACAAATTTTTTTGAAAAAAAGCTCCTGATTATCAAATTTATCAAAAATTAGAAGAATATAATAAATCTAATATTAATCTAATTTATCTAATTAAGTAAAATTGAATAATATTATTTTTATTCAATTTGGTTAAGAAAATTATAAATAATATAAAATAATATATTATAATATCCTGTTTAATTAGATCAATAACAAATTTATTCAGAAATTTTATTATAGTTTTGAATAATTTTCTAAGATCTGAATCCAATAAAACTCAGAAGTTTTATGTTTTTTATTAAAATTAATTTTTTTAAAATATTTTAATTTAATAATTTAAAAAGGATATTATATTATTAGCAAATATTTTGAAAAAATATGTTATTAAATTTATTAAATTTATTAAATTTAATAAATATATAATTAAATATAATAAGTTTATTTTAATTTTTATATAAAAAATTAAAAGATATTCAAATTACTAAATCAAAACATTATACAGTCCCCGACGAAAGTAGTGGCGTGTAACGTTTTCGTCTATATTTTAATAATAAAGTATCGAAAGTTTGTAGATATATTCTTTAGGATATTACGAACAAGATTCTCTAATAGCACAAGACATGTTAGCTTAATAAAATTTTGCGGAATTTTGCGTCAAATGTGTTGGATTAGGTATCTACACAAAATAACCTTGAAAAAAAAATTATTTAAAAATATTTTTAATAAGTAATTTTAAAA